GGGCATCCACAGCCTCCTTGGGCAACCTGTTCCAGTGTGTCACCACCCTCTGTGTAGAAAACTTCCTAAAAGCTAACCTTAACCTCCCTGTTTCAGTTTAAAATCATTCCCCCTTGTCCTATCACTATCCACCCTTGTAAACAATCATTCCCCCTCCTGTTTATACACCCCCTTCAAGTACTGAAAGGCCACAGTGAGGTCTCCCTGGAGCCTTCTCCAAGCTAAACAATCCTAGTTCCCTCAACCTTTCCTCATAGGAGAGGTGCTCCAGCCCTCTGATTCAGACAAGAGCATATCTCTGTGTAAGCGAACTTTGAGAAATTGAATCTCTCCAGATCAAGCGACCTCCACTGACCTGCCAGGAAGCAATCGCCTTGCTCCTCTACTACCATTACTATGCCTGCTCTGAGCTGCAGTAGATGGTAAGGCAGAATCTTCATTTTTCATCTAGAAACATCCACTCACCTGAACACAGAACAGACTGTTTCTTCCTTCTGTGTTTATCTTAAGGGTTTAATCCAGAAGGTCAACATTCGATATTACTAAAATAAACTGCAAACGTTCTACTAATGTCAACAAGACTGGAACTTCATACTGAGGAAAGACACAGGAAATGACCCCGAAGAAATCAATAGCAATGGGATTTAAAGCACTGCAGTCTGAGGATTTCAAGAGTAGATCTTAGATGGTAAACTTCTACTCAGCACAAAATAGATGTTTCACTTTTTAAGTGATAATAAAATCTGTGACAGTGCAAACGGGTCAACGTGCTGTTTAATCTGAATATAGTTCTGTACTAGTACTCATTCATTTAAATGGGATGCACAAACCATAAAGTAACTAAAATCTCCCAAATGTCAGTACTACCAGCAATTTTTCTGTTAATCTAACAAAAATGAGTGCTCTTTTTCTAGTTTAGTCTCTTAGGTCTGTCACACCCTGGTGCTCCACACGTTTGAATGGCATTGAATTGCTTCAACTAAAATAGCTAAGCCAGTTCAATTCTCCAAACAAGTATTACAGAAGCTGTAAGATAGCAGATAAACACTTGGCTCCATTGGTTTCTACATACATTATTAAACAGCCATTATAACATAGTTAGATCACATCTTCTTCTGTTTGCGATGCACACACAGCTCTGCTTCTTCAGCCTGCTTTTTACAGAACAAATAGATCAGTTTGAGGAAAGAAAACAAAACAAGCATCCACAGTCTCAGGTGAATTTACATTTATTAAACAACAGCAATAATGTTGGTACTTTATACTAGTAGTTTGTAATAGTATTTTATGCTGTTCGAACAAACAGTTTTTCACACAGAGGACAGGAGAAATAAAAACACTGTAAAAATGACTCCTTCTACCTTACCCACTACCTGGCAGCACAGTTCTGGCCAGAGCACTGTCTGCAGTTGTGTTTCTGCAACTGTAGCTGAAGGGTGTCCACAGCCAAGAACACAGCTTATCCAAAACACCAGCCTAGTGGTAGAGTACCTCTGACTACTGTATGCATAGTCTAAAAAGTGACAATATAATAATGGGACCTGACTAAATAAGTTATTAGCTTCTTCACCTCTGAAATCAGGGACAATTGACCTAAGCACTTATTTAAAAAAACAAATTGCACTTACCTAAGCATCAATATAGATTAAATTTGCAAAAATATTCAGAAGATCTCTTGACATTTCTGTAGACTTCAAAGTGTCACTTCTACTATACCGTATCTAATTGGACATGTAGACATTTTATAGTTTCACTTGCTAATGAGACAGGAGATAGCTTTTATAGAAATCCATCAATAACCAAAGGCAGAGGTCTCTCCTGAATCAGAATGCCATTTTTACTCCGTACAGGTCAACAGAGTAATGGAGTCCCAGGACATCACTGTGAAAATTAATGAAAATGTACGACACCAGAATGAGATTTTCAAATAATTAAAAAGCCAAAATAGTGATTATCAGAGTAAGTGCACCTTCTACTATCCAGGCAACCATGTGTGCCCCTTTGTAAGTACTATAGTGCAGGACTTTTCATAATGTGTCATGACCGACAGTTGATTCTTTTCAGTTTTCACATTCTGAAGAAATATTTTCTAAATTTACATACTTCTACTGCAAAAATATACTTTTTACCTCTTAGCTCTGTTACATTTTCTTATGTCCTTCCCACCACTCAGACTCTTCAGTCTATTGTGATTTACAGTTAAAACAACTGTATAGGAATGCTGGCTCTATTTTAAGAATTTCATATGAAACATCTCTATTTAGTTTTCATTACAAAAGCAAGTGCTTAGAGGAGCTCAACATCTGCAGAAGCAGGAACCACAGGACATTTTTAATGGTATTTTGGTAGAAGGTCTTCTCCATCACCTTCACCTCCAACTACCTCTGATAGTCCAGATCCCAAGGGCTAGCTCCCAAAAATAGTACATTTTGCTTGTTTTGAACGTTAACACATTAACTATGCACAATAGCAAGTAAATTATCAAATACTCTTTATTTTCAAAAGAGTGATGACTTTAAATAACATTGATCCAAGCCTGGTACATTCATGAAAAAAACACCTCTGACTCACAGCATAATCACTTCATGAGTAAACAGAAAAAAAATACAGGAATTTGGAATTTCTAGCAACCAAATTTAGCTGCAGGATGGAGAGTAAGATGAGGCACTGCCCGATTCAGCTGAACGCTTCTGAATTCGGATCATTATAGAAGTAGATGAAAACCTTGGAAAAGAGAAGTCTTAAAGTACTTTAGAGGAACTGGACAATTTTGGATCTTAGCTTTCTTCTTCTTAATCAAAAACTTAGGGACAAAATTATAGATGTACTGCCCTGAGATGGCTAAGTCAAAGAACACCAAGAAAGTATTCAAATGGTTAACTTGCCTGCATCAGGAAAGCAGACTATGAAAGAATGCGAACACTAAGAGAGAGACATACAGTAGAAATCAAATGGAGGGAAATACATACACCTGAGGAAGGTCTCACCTCCCATTAACAGTCTAAATTCTGGGTTGGTAATTTATAATGCCATATACCAATGTCAATCTTCAAAAAACAAAACCAAAAAAACAAAAAACCAGTAACGTGGATTACTACAGGTTTTAGTCAAAACATGATAGCTATGTTTATGAACCGAAAATAAGAGCGAAGAAAAGCCGCCACAATAATAGCTGATAGCTTTACGGCTTGTCTTTTATCTACTTATAATCCTTTAGCGTTCTTTCCTGAGATTACATTTTATAAACTGCTTTCAACCTGCAAACAAGTTTGCACACTTCATGTCAAATACCCACACATTCATTGTGACTTTACCATCACAAAAAAAAAAAAAGCAGAAAGACCAGGTGTAAAGAGAAAATCCTTAATTTAACAAAAGACCAAATCACTTTCTAATATTCAATGTCAGTATTTATGGCAAAACTGTCTATTAACCAATGTGGCACTCCTATTATTAACCCGCACATTCAAAAGAGATGACAGACCTCTCTTGTGCATAGTTGCTCTGAATTCTTGCTGCTATGACATTAAAATTGACAGGAGGGTATTGGGCTCCTGTCGTATCTATTTAAAGTCTTCATAGAGAAGGAGTCCATTGAGACATACCCTAGGCACCTAGATGACAGCAGTGCTATTGCTGCTACATAATGGCCAGCTGCAAACTGAAGCTTAATTTTGTTTTTGTCTATCAGAGAGATCTCGTCTAGATACTCCCAGCTGCAAAGAAAGAAATATCCACAAATCTTACAGCAGTGATTCTCATTCATTACTGTAACACATCAAGGGAAGTAAAAAACTATAAAAGAGCTTTAAGCAAGAAAAGAAAGTTGTTTTGCTTTTTTTTTTTTTTCCCCTTTACTGATGAAACTCAGCTGCAAAGAACAGCATTGAACAGTGCAACACTAAGGGGATACAAGCACAATCCACAGCTCAGAAAAGTGCTCACTGTTTGTGGGTAGAAATAAAAAGAGCCGAGCCCATTCTTCTCAAAGACCAGATAGCTCATATTGTTTATTTATAAAGCAGTGGGTATTAGTACAGAATAGGCAACTGTAGAGGCAAGAAGAGAGAAGCAAACTGGGGAAAAGGGAAAGGAATAAAAGGCAAAAAAAAAAAAGTGGCGAGACAGGTGGGAAAGTCGTATTCTTTGGAGTACTGCTGAAAAAGTATCAAAAATAATTTTTTAGGAAGTGGCGGAAGGATAAGCGCCTGTTACAACGTAAGTGACAAGGCAGGAAGAAATATTCACAGAAAGCAGATCTTGTTACAACACCTGAAACCTGCAGGCTCGTATGTGCCTCTGTTAGGAAAGAACTGGGAAGCCAGTTAACAAGCTGCTGTTGCAGAGCACAACTGATTGCAACAGGATCACTGAAGCAAAATAACAGGATTGGTGAGCTCTGCAACAAGAGACTGGAAATCCTAAATGTTAGAAGTGAGAACTAGCATCCCACAGGTAATAATTAAACTGCCTTACCTCCAGGTAGGTTGCAGAGATCTCTTACAAGGATAGCAGAGGACAACATCAAAAAGGAAGTTCATTCCAACAACCCTGTCCGTTAGCAAGTGACAGAAGGGAAGCCAACCAGTGCCTCATAGCCAGGTACACACAGCCCATTAAAATCCAGCGCAGTATACGCCAATATACAAGGGAACAAATACATATTTGATGCTATTTCTGCCAGAAACATGAAAGCAGGAAGTTCAATCTACCTTTAGCCTCAGTCATTTGGAAAAATACACCTGGGCACAAGTTCAGATCCCTCTGCAAGGTAATATCTCATGTATGAGAGCAAGCAGCTCTGATAACCTTCTCAGCAACTAATCAATGCTCAAAGACTCTCATATTGATTTCACTTAATGCTATTTCATTAACATTTGACATATCAAGAAATTTGACCACCTGTTATTACCATTTCTTTTAGGTATGGCAATCTTGAGGAACAAATCAATTAAGAACTTGCACCAGGCTGGCAGGCGTGACAATTTCTTATCTTTCAGCCAACACGCATACTGAGAACTTCTGGAAGACTTCACTTCATGATGACAAGACTCAACTATTTCAGGTAGGTTGGGTTTTGTACAAGATCAATATACTAATGTAGCAATGTAAAGCTGTAAATTAGCAGTATTTAAGTATCCTGGAATATTCAGTGAATACTTACCTATTCAGTATCTCAGTGCACACACAGTGGCAGTTTCAAAAGCAGTTTCTAAACTTGGAATTGGAATCTGGGTTTACTGCAGTACTACAACCTGCCATAGTTTCCAAATGGATTAGGTATTCACAATTTCACTTAATTTAAATAGAAACACTATCTCTGAAAACTGTGAAGGATCTCAATCAAGTAGGGTACTTGCCCCTAAGAAACCACTTCTGAATTTTCAGTAGAATGTGCAACTTAGCCTGAATAACCACTATCAGAGAAGCACATAACCCTTGAGAATAACATGAACAGAAGTTATGCAAGAACGCGCAGATTAACGACGGCAAAGCAGAAGAGCTGATTGTCCACAACTATGTACTTGACCTTGGATTTGTTTCTAGTCCATGTAAGCTGTTTTGCTACTGCTAAACATTACTTTTCTATGAATAATTTGGCTGCAATAAGGAAATGCACCACTGTGCAAAATACGGACTTGAAAGCCCAAGAGATCACAACCTTAAGCACAGAATGGACAACAAAAGCAGAGGCCAACTCATACTCTAGTGTTCACGTGACCTCACCCCTTCTCCTATCTTCCCTAGTGCCTTGCCTCACTGTCAGCTGTGGCTCTGCCAGCTATGCCAATAGATAGCAAGTTACAGATAACAGATCCATCACTACAGAGTTGCACGGTTGAGTGCTCAGGGCAGAACATCTCTGGAGGTTCAAATGCCCATGGCAATTTGCAGCTTCACTTGGAAGATCACTGCATTTTACTTGCTTTTAGGAGCATGTAAACTGCACACACATCTATTTTGCAAACACACCCATTTACACCGACACTCCTGTTGATCAGAAATTAAATCAGACAATTTGGACCAGCATGGTTGTGGAGATAATCAACAAGTGGCTTCCAATGGTCTCAGTAGCCTAATTAGGGACATTCTGGGGATGTGTACACAAGGTTTCACCCTGAAAAGGCTACGCAACTCTGCAGGGCCACCCTGACCAACAGGTTGTTCTTAGGTGTCTCCTTCCAGACAACAACAAAGAGGAAAAGTGCTTTTTCTCAGATCACTCTTATTAAAGTTCACCACACTTTGGATTGCTTTAAAACTGCTCTCTTGGATTCAAGAGAGAGAATCAATTACAGAATTACAGAAGGAATGAAGTTGGAAAGGACCTCTTGAGGCCATCTAGTCCAAACTGCTGCTCAAGCAGGGACAACTCAGAGCTGCCTGTCAAGGACTGTATCTAGGCAGCTTTTGAAGATCTAAAAAGAGGAGACTTCACAGCTGCTCTTGGGAAACCTGTGCCGCTGCTATGTTACCTGAACAACAAAGAAATACCTCCCGATGTTTAGACAGAACTGCCTATGTTAAGTTTCCCACTGCCTCTGTTAAGTTTCATAGATAGACCAACACTAGCCTGATCATCAGGTAAGGCTCAGCCTGGGACTGACTGTCCTGCCAGTCTGTACTTGAAAAGGATATTCTTTCCCAATGGCAAGAATTGAAAAGTTAAACCAATAAGGAATTTAAAAAAATAAAACCACAACAAAAAACAGCACCACAACATTCAAACTCTGTATCAGTCTTGAGATATGTCTGCAGACCCTAAGAAGGTCAAATGACAGGCTGTACAACAAAATCAACTATTGTATTTTCTTCATAGAACCTAAAATTATTAGTTGTTTCAATCAAGAATCATTTTGATCATGTTAACAGCTGTATGGAAAGCTCACCTACACAACTGTCACTGGAAGGCATTATACAATCTTAAGTGACAGTAACGAAGCCTGTAAATCACAGTCCCTCTGTCCACTAATATTTTAATAGTGTAAACTACTTCCTACTGGGATGCAGAGGAGAAGTTGGCAAGAATACTACACACACAGGTCAGCCTTAAGAGATCATTTATTTCCTCATTTCTCAGAACTAGGCTGTGTATCAATACTAAATGATCAGTTATCAACTCTGAAGAATCAAAATGCTATTCAGGGACCAGCCTCATTCCTCTTGGTTCAATCTTCACGTATAAAACCTAGACTCCCTGGCCACCTATTTCCACACTGCTGTTCAGCACAATAAGGTCACTCAGTGCACCCAACTTTCTCTTTGAGAACATCTTCCAAGATGATGCCTTTGTCAGTGAGATGAATCCCTTAACCATTGCAGGAAACGTTCTCTAAGCCGCCCAACTGTTTAGTTTCAGAGAGATGATAATCTTACATTCTCAATGTTAACTACACTCCAAATTTAATTTAAAACAAAACAACTCACACATTATAAACTACCTCTGTTTTTTTTCCAAATATTTCAAAATCAGTACAAATTCAGCTGAGGATTGTTTTCTGCAAACACATGGTTCTTGGAATTCATCAAGTAATGGAAAGCAAAAGATAAAAAGGTAAGGACCTTGAAGTGCACAACAGTCACACAGTGGAATTCACATGAAATTACTCACTGGAACACCTCTAGCTGTACAGAAGTCAGAGCATATTACCTCTTAGTTTTAAAAAATTCATCCTGATGCTTCTTGAAATATTCATGCATGACTGACAGAAGAACTGAGACAGTTCCCACCAGGGCTCGACTTCCTACACAGCAAAAAGGCTACCTGCCCTCTTGTAGGTAGAATCCTTCTCACAGGAGAAGATGATTTAAAAAAAAAAAAAAAAAAAAAAAAAGTAGCCCTGCTTAGAAGAGAGCCTCAGCTAATGCTCTTTATCAAGAATTTTCCCTTCAGTGTTCTGAGGAAGCAAAAACACGTGAGGGGTCCTGAAGGTGACAGCCGATAACATCTGTCCCATGATGGACAAAGGATACAGACAAGGCAAGACTAGGAAGAATTTTCAGGTGTGTGACAAGTCTGAATATTTCAAGCCCAAAAAAAGGTGAGGAGCTCAAAAACTCATCTAAATTTCCCAGTGCTAAGTGAGCAACCAATGAGATATTTCATCTGTGCTTGTAAATTACTCTTTGAAAGCATCTGTGCTTGCATGTATCTACTAGGCACGCACTAAGGCACAGCAAATACCGTTCACCCTGTACAGGAGTCCTCAAAACTTGATGGGCTAAATGGGACTTCCTACATCTTCAACAGACTGCAATATCCTCCCAAAACAACATAATACACCAGCCACGCTTTATTATCACTGCTTCTCTGTGATGTCTCTACTATATACCCTTACAGAGACAAATCCCAAGAGGTCTAAGTGCAGAAAATATGAACTTGACAGGTCAGGCAGGAACAGATGAAAACAAAACAAAACACAAACAACAAACAAAAAGTCTGGGATTTGTAAGAGAGGAAAAGACACCTGAAGCTAAACTGGAGAGAAACCTAAAACAGAGCACACCAAGTGATAAAATGCAGGTTGTACTTAATGAAGAAGAAATCAAAGTTTCATAGCTAATATCCTGTATTTTTCCTCCCAGAGTCCTGGTGAAAAGCAAACTGAACGTGAACCAGTAGAGTTCCCTAGCAGTACACAAGGATGTGCAGACTGTGTGGGAAATTATCTTCCTCTGCTGAGGGCTGACTGGATCACATCTGGAATACGGCATCCAGTTCTGTGCCTCCCACACAGGCCATCAATACAGTGGAGTGAACTTAGTGGAACCACCTAGATGATCAGGGTGCCAGACCACTCAACCTGTGAGAAAAGGCACGAGCTAACTGGTTTTGTTCAGACTGCAGGAAAGACAGCTTTGGGCCAAGAGCCTGCCACTGCCCACAAAGGAGGCTGTCTTCTGACATCTTAGATGAAGTCAGGCTCTAAACAGTGGTATATGGTGGCAAGATAAGAGAAAATAAACATAAACTGGAACAAGGATGGTTAACACTAGCTATTAGGAGGAATATTCTTACCTTGAGGACAACCAATTCTGTGGCCTCCATCTTTGGAGGATTTCAAGACCAACATAAAGGCCTGAGTATTCTGGTCATTACAGTTGACTCTGTTCTGAGGCTATTCTAGAGATTCTGGCTTGTATTTGTAATTTGCTACAGTTTACCTTTCACAGGGCTGGAAAGTTGCGTACAGGTCTTTAGATGGTACGTTTGTATGAAATGAATTTTCTCCAAGTTTTCTCCAAGTAAGAAGAAAACTGGAAAAAAAAGATTTGATCACATGACACCGTCACAATGATGAGCATTTTTAGATTCTTAAATTCACCAGAAGGGAAAGTGATAGTAGCAATAAGCTGTCATTCTTTGCTCTGGCCAGCAAGTGTATAAGATAAGGGCACTGCTAGTATTTTGTATCTTATTCCTGGCCACAAAGCAACAACACAATCACAAGCAAACATGCCTTTCTCTGCTCCTTTCTGTTCTTCAGGTTTGAATTCTTCTGCCACTCTGCTTTAAATCCTCCTTCAGTTCCTTCTTTCTATCTAGTTCCATATAAATCTCAGCAGGCCTCTTAGTTCATTCTCTGTCTTACCTAGTGCAGTTCAGGTCTCTTATACATGCACAGCTCTGCCTTCCCATTATCTTTTCAGACAATTACAATCTCTTCTTCCACATACCCTGAATCTCACTTCTGTCCTAGAAAGATACTCATCCCCTCAGGACCTTTAATTCTTCTCCTTATTAAACAGTACTGATAAATTACTGCTTAGAGACACCTCTCGCTATGTATTTCTGCAGCCAGGATCTTCTACTTATTTAACTCTTGCTGTAGAATCAAAATGGATCTTCAGGAAATGGCATGTTTCTCTGCTGCCAATAGCTAGTACCATTCTGTTGGCAGATTGTGAAGAGGAAAAAATAATTATTCAGGAAGAAAGAAATGCCTACTTTAAATATGACAACTTTAAAGTTTTGCTAGAAATCTTTCTGGTACTGTTGTACAGTTTTGCCCACTATCACAAGGCAACGGTTGATAAGAGTATAACACTTCTTAGAGAATCTATAGTGCTGGAACAAAGCAAAGATGAAAAAGTGGTGGCAAAAGTAAAAGCAGCTGTCTATAAAGACAGTGCTTAATGCAGAAGTCTTACCTTTCCGAGAAAGCATTGTATTTCTAATTACAAAGCTCTCATAGCAGTGTTTGGCAAGCTTCTTTTCTTTTTGGACAGAACTAAGTGCGTGCTATGACTGCCTGAAAGGTACTGCTGAACTGGAGTAGTGTGAAATAGTAACAATACAACTTTGATCATTCAGACAATTGGTTCCAATTTTAACTGTGCCAGTTGCCAAACAGTTCTTTGCAGCCTTTGCTTTGATCAGAGAAAATGACCTTGCTGTCCTTTTAAATCCAACTGCAATTAGTTCTTTAAAGTTCAAGTGATTCAAATGAAATCTCTTATGACCAAAAATGCAAATTAATGCTTTAGTTCTAAATATTGATAGTTCAGGGAATTCAGATTGCTCGCTGTCCCAGATACACCACAGAGGGAAAGAAAATATCAAAAACATAGGAATAAACATACTAACAAGTCACCAGAACTAGCAGTGTCTTTATATGCCTGTGTTAGTAAAGATTATGAAACAGCTTTTAAAGTATTTGATTAAAAGAGCACAAAATTGTACATTTCTTCTACACAAGCATAATTTATAACAACTAGTTCCTAAAAACATGCATGTTTTAGCTCTTCTTTTCTCATTAAGTCCAACAATGGCTAGAGAATAGAGCTGAAAATAATTTTAGTACCAATATCCTTATTGCATTTCCCAGAACATCAAGCTGTCAGACCAACAATTAAATTCATTTCAAATTAAACCTGACAGGCAGTTTCTTGATGAAAGAACATGTGTTAACTAAAACACATCTCTTTCAAAACACCTCCTTCATCCAGTGCACAGTTTTTGCAATAGTCTCTTCCTGCTTGCTAGGTGATTCTGTTCCTCCAGTCATTCTTACTATGAACACAGCAAACCTCTACCTTATCCTCTGTCAGTACACAGAATGAAGACTTCCCTCCTTCCCTAAAGAAGAAAACACAAGATCTTGACATAAGTATTTCTATCATTCACTAATGTAGCAGCTAATAAGGTATAAGAACACATATTGAATATTGAACCCCTCTTACTTCTGCTAAATGAGGATGACAGTATACTCTGAGGAACTGATATTTAATAAACACAGTATCCTCTATACTTCACTGCTTATCCTCAGATTCTTTATCTGTCCATGCCCTCATCTCTTTTGCAAATGAGGTCTACAAAGGAGCTGCAATGGAAAAGAACAATAACCAAAGTAACACTGTGAGGGCAGGGTCTCTTTAGCTACCAGAAACACAGGACATTCAAGGACAGAAGTCTTTACATATCTAAAGGAGAAAGGAAGAAAAAAAAAAAAAAAAAAAAGCCCAAAAAGAAATGCCAGCAAAATTAGCCTTGAAGATTTCTTCTTTTTAATTCAGTATCAGCCAGCGTTCCCTCACATTCACAAACTCATCTCGCCTCAGGAAAAGGTGTCAGATATACAACAGCAAGCAAATTACACAAGAATCTGATAAGGAAGTTTCTTTTTCCTGCATCAGATGGAAGCACTTTTATTTATTTATTTTTAAGAAGTCAGCTGACAGATAAATGATACTATCTATGTACTGCTATTGTAAGATTTTTAAACCTTGCAATGACATCAAGTTTCTGAGTCAAATGTGCTGATATCACACAGTTTTTTGCTTGGTCATTTAAAAATATTTTAAGCTATCCAGTTGCCTGAAATTTTTCCACACCTATTAGGAAACAACATAATTAAAGTACTCCCTGTAGATATAATCAACCTTAGCTCAGTTCGTATGCTCTTAGACAGAAAGTTCCAGAGTATCTTGCAAAGTTGATCTTTCTCTATTTAACAGACACAGCATACATCAGAGATTGTCACAACTTCCTCAAAGCGCTCTCATAGGACATTTTATACAGGAATCTCAAGTTCAGCAGCTATGCTTTCTGCATGCCAGGTAACAACCAATAAAACTATTCTCAACTTGGCAATGAAAACCAAAAACCCGTATCTGGTTCATGAACTTCAGGAAGAACTACCAGAGATCTGCACTGAACACTGCTGTATTGAAGATACAGAAGTTTATTTCCTAAGTAAGTTGTACAGCTCTGCACTGGATTCAACTTCCCCATGGTCCCTTATGGAACACACAGCAGCAAAGGAGAGACATTTGTACCTCCGCAGCGATAACCCTGCACTGGGGAGCAATGATCCTAAGTTTAAAGCCAGACATAGAGAGGAAGAGAATAATCTGAACTAGGACCTCTGCACCTCAGCCTACCCATAGCATCATTCTGACTGCCTTGTAGGGTAGGGATCTCCTTTCACCAGGCCTAGTTGAAGATAGCTTACTGTGCTTAACATGAGGCTTAGCCCTTCATGGAACATGTTAATAAATTACACAGAACAGCAGTCACTGCAGATACCTGTGACTAAAATATAAAATGGCTCTTGAGGCAGAAGAACAATTGCAAGTAATGCTTTAATGACCAGACAGGTGGAAACGCAATCCAACAGTATCTCATGACAATTGTTTTTCAGAGGCTGCTGATAGAACTAAGCATATATACAGCTTTTGTTTACTGTTAGGAGACCATAAATTAACACAGCTGTTGCAGTTTCTAACTTACCATCAGGCTCAGAGAAAAAGGATTATTCACATCAGAAACATGAGAGAAGGAAAATAGTCAGCTTTGTCCTGTCCTAAGACTCAAAGCTTTTCTCCTCAAGAAAGTTACAAGGTAGACTTGGAGGGTTACTATTATCATCTGTACTACATTTTGTACTTGATCAAATGGCCAGCATCCTTGCCTGTGGCAGGGGTGTTGGAACCTGACAATCCTTGAAACTTGACTCTTCTAACCCAAACCACTCTATAATTTGTGATTTCAGAAGACTTAGACCAGCTCCCCTGTTGTCCTGGAGAGTAAACACAGGGCTCAAACTCTATTCCAATAACATCGGTAACAACTTCCTTGCGGTGGAAGAGAAACAGGTTAATTCACATTCTGGCTGTAGCCTACATTTGATTCGTTTTATCTGTTAGCTAGCACTAAATTGTGTTAGCTTATGAGCAGGGCTCCATGGTGAAGCTTCTAACGGTATCAGAGCTATTGCTACAGAACAGAGAGATTTAAGCATTTTACCAGTTGTCTTACTCTGTTCACAGCATAGTTTCTAACTCAACCTTACTATCATGCCAGAGACAGGAATCTAGCAAAGATGGCCAAGAACCACATGAATATTTCAGACAGCAGCCAGACTGCCAGCCTCTCGGAAGCGTTTCAGTGTGTGAGGCAATACAGTCTACAGTGCAATTAAAGGAATCCTTATTAGATTTTCACACTGCTGTGATATATGATCATAAAAAATTCTCTACACACACAAATCAAGAGAGCCATTGTTCAGAGAGCCACTGGCTCATCTAAGAAAGGCCACATGTTCAATATTTCCTTTTATTACCTTGTATTTTCACTGGATATTCCAGTCTTATGTTACAAAAGAGAGAAAATAAAAGCATCTCACATCTCCCCTCTACCTGATTTACTGATAATCTCTATGATATCACTTTTATTTTGTAGTATTACAGAACAATTAAGATTGCAAGGAACATGAAAGTGACTGGTCTGATCTTCTGTTCCAAGTGCCATCACCTTGCTGCACCCTGACCTATCAATTTAAGTGCTTTCAAGTATCTCTTCCCCAATCACCCACCGGTGAAGAACATTTCCCTAACCCCCAGCTTAGCAGCAGACGGACCACAGACTTGCATCCTAAATAGGAATTATCACACCAGGAGTGCAGTAAGGGGGAAAGAGCTCACTACTGAGTAGAAAAAGTTATGAACATCAAGTACCAGACACTGAACCATAGCACTGTTTTCTTCATAAAGATTTTCAGGTTTCTTTGTATACACTGGTATTCATCTATTCCAATAATTTACATTAAGGAAGACAAAGTACATGAAGGATAAACAGAAGCAAATAAAGCTTCTAAATCAAAAACATCCTTTTATTCACAATAATGTATAAACTGACCAGTTTCACTGCAGGATTTATTTGCAAAGACTATGCTTGTTAGACTAACATGTAACTAAGTCTTTAATCTGTATTTACCAGGTTGCTTTCCTCACTCTTCACCTGGGAGAGAAAAAGATAAAGATCTGTATAAAATCCATGCCAGACTCGAGGTACCCTTTTTTGCTCCAGCCACTCTTACATTTCCTTCCCTTTACATACTTTGAAAGCTAAAACATAGTATTGGATTATTTTTTTTTTTTTGCTCTTTAAGCCAAGTTAGATTTGGCAGATCATGAATCATCAACTAACACTGCAACTCATATCTTAAAAAAAAAAAAAAAAAAGGAAATAAAAACATGTCAATCAAGTCCTTCTTCTCTTTGTTTCAATGACTATTTTCACTCTTATCTGCTACAAAAGCTCAGTTTGCACTTATGCAGGTGACTGTAGCCTGAAGAACACTGAATTACAAAATTTATGCTGCAGATTAAAGGTAATGGAAGCAAATCTAAATAGGAGATTTAATGTACTAAACCAAATATTGCTATGCCAAAACTGATCTCCAGGAAGCAATCCTTGGTAATTAAAGCTAAAGAAGTCTAAGAAGGAAAAAAAAAAAATTATATCCTGTTTCATGTTAAAAAAAACTCCCAGCATATAAACCCTGGCATTTCATTGTATGCTGCAGCAAGAAAAGCAGCTCCTACATGAATGCATTAGCAGCCCCAGCCCTATACATACACAGTGTTAAACACATTCTAAGGAATTCCCAGGAAGTCCCAGAGAAACCCAAACCCATCAGAACTGAGATCTGTGCAACTCCTGCTGAAGTTGTTTTTTTTGTTTTGTTTTGTTTTGTTTTGTTTTTGCTAATTGCAGTTTATTTAACAGGATGCCTTCAACCAAGCTGCAATCACTGAAATGTTGCAATAAATCAGAGGGCAGCAAATCTATTGCACTGAATGCTTTCTAAGCAAGTAATCTGCTACAATGGAACAGCTCTCCCAACTGCTACAGCAGACTAAATAAAACTCTGATAATAACGTAACAAATGTTCTAGTGTTGTCTTTGTTTTTCATGTGTCTCTAGTTTCTACTACAAGGGTCCTGGGACCAGCTGCATGAAATCCCTTCCTGTTTGTCCCAAAGACAATTAAAAAAAAAGATAATTCTACAGTTTAGTTTCACACTAAGCTGCTTCAGACCCTAACACAGTTGAGGCTGAAAAAAAAAAACAACAAAAAAAAAACCAACAACAAGGGAAATGAAGGTGCTACTTGAGAAAACTAGATCCCCTCTAGGCACACGTGGTGTCAATCTCACACACCTCCCACTCATTTTTAGCTCACTTCAAACACAGGTTTTTGATTCTAAATAAACGAGTAGCATCTGGTTCTTTGGCAGCTTTTTCTAATAGAAATTCAGATAGTTAGCTTTAGAAAGGATCTCAGAGTTGCTGAATACTTAAGTAATAACAATTCGGGCTTAGCTGGCATAATGAAAATCATTCGATTATACTGTTTGGATTTGGAGATTTTTATGCATTATAACACCCATGTAACACCCTCTTTCAGCACTATTTTCTACCTTCAAGCTAGCAGAGGGACCTTTATTGCATGCACTGCATTGGGATACCACGAGAAAAATACAATGCAAAACAACTGCTGAAGCTATTATCTTAGATCTTACATTTTGTACAGACACAGAACGTCATGCTACATGAACTCTGTCACTCAAAATCTACTTCCCTTCACATTCATTTTACTCTCACATATGACTAAGCTTTCTCACTTCCTTCACCACACAGAATACATATGAATACATCACACAGACTCATTCTTTTACAATCTTCTTATACCAGCTTGGCTGACAAATCAACTCAGCATTCCAGTGAATTTCGTAAGACAACATATGTTTCTTTGAGACTGAACAAGGTTCTCACTGAGGCGGATGGTATATCTACTATTCACTTTGAGGGGTGGAATATCTGATCTTTTCTTAGTTCTTTTCAGAATGCACAGAATATTTGGAATACAAAAAGAGTTACCTATACAACAAAATAAGAAGCACTTTGATGGTTTTATCGACTTACACTTTCAAGCATCGAGGAATACTGGAAGCATCTTCCTGCATGAGAATGTATCCTCAATAATCTTGTCTCGCTTCTCTTCCTTTCTATTCACATACCGATGTTTTCACTTAAACAAAGATATTCACAAACACTTTTCCTGCTTTACAGAAGTTCTGCATTTAAAAATCAGTATTACATACACTATTTTAGATAGTGTCATTGTTTTATGTTTTTTTGTTATTGGTATTTCACATCATAACATCATGCAGTGCACTGGGAGTTAGAGTTAACGCTCTAGTTCTGTGGATTGCCCATAGTTCCAGGTTCCCGGTTCTCAGAAGAGAAGAACTACATACTACATGCTCCAGAGGACTTTACATGTTCTGTTTCCATTTTCTGCTCAGATGGAAAGATAGAACTATTTGCACGTCATGAGAGGTCCCTCTTTTTCACCTTTCTGCTCATTCTGGCTGGACATCTCACCTTCAGCACTAGAGTAAAGCCTTTGGTTTTTGGACATTCATTTTATTTATTAGCTTCAATTCCAATTATAGTGTGTTCCAGTGTGTTATCTTGCATTCCTTTTATCTTCTCTAGTAAATGAGTTTGTTTCTCCTCAGATCACTGCCACTGTTTTGTTTTTAGGCCCATCTTCCTAACCTTTTCCCAGCTCATGGGTTCGTGGGCCCCCTCACAAAGCCACCCACAAACTGTTGGCAGGTAGTTACAACTAAATCTGTAACAATATATGCATTTGATAAGGTTCAACACAGGTCACAGCGTTATCTTGTTAATTCTCTGCATGACTGGTCATCAGGAAAAGTTATTCTCCAGAAACAGTTGCTTGAAAACTGCTAATACTACTCTTGTTTATGTAATTAAATTATGCATAGCTCAACTTTATTAGGCTTGAGCATCTGTTAATCATAAATGCTCTGTGTAAAAGATTAAGACAGAAGATGAAAAATGGGGTGGGAAAATGTGTTAAGAAAAATATCACTTACATAAAACAGAAGAATGTAGCACTTAAGAAGCTGTCCTCCTAACTGTGAATTTAAGTCCAAAATAATAAATATGAATGCTTCCTACTGTTAATGTAGGAAGCAGGACTGAATAAAATATTTTGGAAACTAAATTACAGTAATTGGACTGCAAGGTATTGAACTAAGTAAAAGAAATATCAAAGATACACCTAGTGAATGTCATTCTATAGGTAGTTTTGTCACTGTACTAATTACCTCAGTTACTTCTATCAGCTTCATTTACACTAACTCTAGAAATACTAACCTAATGCCTTATCCTTCAAGCACACTACAAAAACAATGTTAACCTCTGCAAAGCCACAAGCACTTCTACAAACTCTGGCTCAATGTATTTTTGGTTTTATTTTTGTTAAACAACCATTTAGACTTCCATGCTGATGTGCAGTCTTGGAAAGGGCACATTCTCAAAAGCTCCCAGGGTATTCTAAGAGAACTTGAAATCCCCTGCCACGACTTACTGCAAGTTCCACTAGTCTGTCCTCAAATAAACCTACAATGAGATTAAAATAACTGCTAAGATCACTGTAGCCTCCCTGTGAGCACACACTATTATTCTTTGTTTTATTATTTTCTCTTAAATCATTGCGAGCTGCTGGTAACACCTGCTAAGAACTGCTTCAACATGTTTGCTTTTTGTGATTTATTTTTTTTTTTACTCTGAATGCAACATGGAGTAGAGATTGCATCATATCAACAATACTGCCTTAAAATGGCTGTCTTAAAATGGCAAGGACTGAAAATTTAACAGCAGAAAGTTAAAAACATCTTTTTAGTGAAGAGACACTTTTACGTCTCTTGACAAAAACTATACGGATGCCAGAGCAACCACAACAGAACATTAGTGGCTTCTTCTACCACAGCTGATAAACCTCTCCCCATTGGCATTAGAAATAGAAACATTTTGGAAGGTCACAATGGACCACCGGATGCAGAGGCACAGAATTAGGAACCGCACCTTCCAGAAGGAAAGCAGTTATGCTGCAAGGCACGTTCATTTAATTCTGACAGCTTTATGTACTATGACCTGTGGAACTTGCTTATCCTGTCTATAGCTAAATAACCTCTTGCTCACATTTGCAGAATGTACAGCCATCAGCTGCAGATGTATTCCTGCAGGAACCTAAAATAGGCACATTAAACTCTTTACCCTCATAGAGAGAGGTTTCCCAGTTCTGCTAGGAAACTTAAAATGCTATAATCCATGCTGGTTTCCACCTAGGTATGCTCCTTATATTCGTCCTGCCACTTTCCTTCACAGGAAGACTTAAAAGAAATTCCAACCAATCTTATTTGTATTAAAAAACATGCTCAAGAATAAGTATGCACAAGAGCCTGAAAGACAGATCACAGATGGTCTAAAACAAAAGCAAAGCAAAGAGCAGGCTCTAAGTGCATATTTTGACAATACATTGATCAAGTTGCTAAGGCAATGGATTTCATGAGGTGCAACGGCTAACTAAATTCTAGTTAATGAAGTAGGTACAGAAGATATCACACTTTCTACTCTTCTTTAAGAGTAAAAATTGATCCTGTATCTGCTTTACAATATTAATGTAATTAACGTCAGCATCTTAACTAAGATCAGGAGGTGATCTGCCCTCCCAACCTGCTAATCATTCTACTGCCCTCACTTTTCTTCACATTGTGGATTATCTACAGGCATCCAACCCGGACTCTTCACAGACAAAACTAAACTGGAATATGTACTTCAAGGACACACCTAACACATGCCAGCTTTTGTTGGTCATTCAGTCTAAAGTATCAAACAATCTAGTCTCCAGAACGGACACACAGTGTGAACTTTAAGTCTTCAACAATGTTTCCACCTACAGATTTTCTCCTATCATGCCATGATACTTGCTGAAGCAGACATAGCCACATATACCAAGGTAAAACTTAAACTTCTCCCTACACTATTTGACTTACAGGGGAAAATGACAATCCTGTATAAAGAAACAAATAAAGCAGATAACTAAACTATACCAGAGGTTTAGATCAGTGAATAAGTAATAAAAGCCTTGTCATTTGGACCCTATTGAGATTTCTACACTGTGATGTTGGCAGGCCAACGAAAAAGAAGGAACAGGAGGTATAACACACAGGATAAATAAAAGCATGTAAGCCCAAGCAAAGTTTAAATTAGCCACAAAACGCGATTCCTTCCTTTGGACAAAATTTAACTGCAATACAGACTCTGCTCCAACTTATGCTCCATTAAAAAGAAGAACAAGGTGACTAATTTGGTTAGAAAAGAAATAGCAGAAACTTTAGTTTTCCAACCTTTCATTTGAAAACATCAGTTAAAATCATTCTCTCCTTCTCATAAAAGCACTACTTCTTTCCAGTGCGAAGTGTGACTCGGAACAGTTTTCCAACAGTAGTCAGTTTTTATTCAGACACTTTTGCAAGGCTTTTTTTTTCTTACCTAATGTTTATTTAACATCTAAAACAATGCTAAGTCAGTCTCACTGAAGTACAAGAATAGCACTCTCATTTTATTTTTTACTACAAGCAAATTGAAAGGACAAAGCAATGCAATTATAGCCAGTAAGAGTTCTAGGTAAATACAGTGCTGGCTACAAAAAAAAAAACAAAAAAAGAGCAAGCCAAAGAAAGCAGCAAAAAAATTAGGAAGCATTTGTATGAATATTCTGAACATACAGCTTAGTTCACTGAACCTCTCCTGCTTTCATTTCTACACAGCAGTCACTTAGCATTTTAAGCAGATTTATCACATAACAGCTGTTTGTCTTGGTATCCTCCACCACGAAAACAGCAGAACGCCCACCTAAAGTGGCTCATGTTAATAACTTCATTCTTACTTGCCTTGACACCATATTGCCAAATGCTTTACAGAGAAAGAAGTAAAAACTGAACAGCAAAAGGACTCCACTAGCACACAGCAAGACAATCTCATATGGAGACTGACAACTAAAGCTTGTGTCCAAATGTGCCCAGCTTCTGTTTCTGCACAGCCTGAAATGATGTTCAGAGACTTTTAGGAAAGATG